GAAGCATCCTTTGATGCGACGGGTCATGGATCGATACCTGGATTCCCACCTGGGTAGTCGCGAACGCACATTCGAAGCTATGTGGAGTGGTGTTGAACGAGCATTTCTCGAAGCTCAACATGATGCAAACGCCCAATCAATTCGTGATGATTTGAAAAGGGGTCCCATGGTTGGCAAGAAGCCTGCGCTGCCCAGCACCAAAGGGGACGGTAAATCTAAGGATTCACCAAAGCATGACAAAAAGGACTCCAGAGGTAAGTCCCCGGATAAGAAGGGTAAACATTCAACAAGCGCCAATGAGCAAGACAAAGGCAAAGGCAAGGCAACCAAGGTCCCTACGCCTGAGGAAAAGGCCAAATCGCCATGTATCTACCATTTGAAGGGTCGGTGCACGCGTGGTGAGTCTTGCCCCTATAGTCATGCCGCTCAGGCGCCCCAACCCAAAGCTAAGGCATCCTCTTCAGGTCCTGGCTTAGTCGCCAAAGCTGCAGCAGTGGCAATTTTGGCCACGCCATCTGCGATGCCGTCTAGGTCGACCATGTGTCTTGATGTGGTGGGTGACACTGGAGCCGGGGAGAACCTGGCTTCCGTTGAGGCACTTCGACGGCAAGGGCTGGCAGTTGATGACTTCATCGCTCAGACGCATCATCCTGTTCGTTTTTTAACAGGAGGTGGTCAACGTGATGGTGAGTCCACTCTTGGGTTTTGGTCCGAGGAGTTCCAACGCATGAGCAATTTTTACTTGCTTCCCCAGTGTCCGGTCGCCTTGTCCATTGGTCAGTTGGTTGAGACGGATGGGTATTCCTTCTTGTGGCATCCTTCCAAGCTGCCTATGTTGATTCCTCCCTCTACCCACTTTGACTTTCAGATTGATGGCGCAACGGTTTCTGCTGATCGGGTTGAGCACCATGTTGCCATGTTTCGCCTCTCCGTGGAGTGTACTTATGGCCTCCCTGTTTCTCTTTTTTGTGATCTTCCACTTGCAGGGGGGGGAGCAGGGTCAGGGTCTATGTCGGAAGACGTTGAGGTTTCTGAAGCTGTTCCAACGCTTGAGGAACCAGTGGCGTGTATGGATTCTCCTGACGCTGCAGCTGTGATTCATGGCAGTGACCCTGCGCCTAGCGCGGGCGCTGCCGAGGAGATCGGAGATGGCCCTGCGCCTGGCGCGGGCAGCAGCAAAGATGGGGGTCCTAGCCAAGAGGAAATCAAGGAAGGTGAGGAGATCAGTGGGATTCCAAGCACTCATTTGATGACCCATTTGCCAAAATCAAGGGATTGTGATACTTGCAAAAGGGCGAAACTTTATGAGTCGCAACATCGTAGATCCGAACACCAAAGTAGGAATTTGAAAGACATTCGTATGATCGAGGCTCCCACCTTTTACTTGGAGAAGCTAGCCGTGGGTCACATCATTGTTCGGGATGAAATAGGTAACAGGGGTAAAACATGCGCTTTCATCATGGTTGATGTCTTTTCGGGTTTTACTTCAATGGCACCATGCCAGCATAAGAGCGCAGATGAAGTTGAACGAGCTTTGCGCCGCTTGTGTGGAAAGAGGAAGCCTGATAGTGCAAGTTTCATCGGATAGGGCTCCGGAAATCAAGAAAGCGTTGGTCGATTTGGGGTTTGCTAGCGAACCTTCAGCCCCATATCAAAAGATCAAAAACGCACTTGCCGAGTCCACCATTCGCACCATAAAAGGTATGGCATCCTCAATTCTCATTCACTCAGGGTTGGATTTGCAACATTGGCCGCTTGCTTTAAAGTATTTGGAGTGGGCCTACAACATCACAGCGCCAGCCAAAGGACTTGAGGATGACGAAGAGGAGGATGGCAACCCAAGCAGATATAAAAGGGCCATGGGGTATGACATTGAATGTTTCATGGTTCCGTTTGCTGCGTTGGTTTAGTACAAGAATCCTGATCCCTACTCATTTGGCCCCAAAGGTGAACCAGCTTTGTTCTTGGGTGCGGAGTTGATTGACGGAATGCTGTTTAAAGGAAATTACAGGGTGTGGCCCATGGAACATTTCCATCAAGGGGTATACAAGGAGTTTGTGACAAGAACAATAGCCATACCAAATGGGCAATGGCAATTTCCAGCTTCAAAAGCAGCGGAGGCCCCAGTGTTGGATGCTAGAGCTGAGGAGGAATTGGAAGATATCAGCTATACACCTTCTTTAGCCAGTGAAATTGGGGATGATTTGGGTGAGGGCGAAAGAGAGGACTTAGGGGACCCCAAGGAAGGTGTCTGCCCAGCGCCTGGCGCGGGAGATATCGCCAAGGGGGACCCGAAACCTAGAAGGAACAGGCCCATAACACCCCTCCGTGTGTTTGCCTACGGGAAACCCCCTGATTGTGAAGGTAGACCGATTCAACAAAATGTTGGATGAATATGAGCCGGCAAGGAAACGGGAGAAGTCAATTGTTGAGGAACCGATTGCAGCAGAAACGCCTGAAGCACCTGAAGGGGATCTATTTGGTTTGTCAACGCCCATTACCGGCAAAGAGCTCAGCAATTTGGATTTGGAAAGGGGTCCAGAGGTGATAGCCTCGATCTACATCCATGACTTGGAGGAAGGGAATGGATCTGAGGAGGAGCTATCATCGAAGCTGGAGCTTGCCCTGAAGTCATGTGCGGCGACAACCAAGTCACAGCAAAAGGTTCTAAGAAATGGTTTGTTGAGTTTTGCTGTTCACCCAACAGTTCCTGTTGCAGAGTTGCTGAAGCCTGTTCAATACCATATCTTGGCTTGTCTAAGGACTTTGGTGATTTATCGGATCCTGGTGTGATTGAACAAATCTTGTTTTGGTTCCAAGAGACGGCAAACAAAGGCGAGTCGATTGACTTGTATGGCTCAATTCCATGTGGACCATATTCACCGCTCCAGAATTTGAACATAGCGGTTCAGGGTCGAGAGTATTTGGAGGTCTTGGAAAGCAAACGCGCTGAAACCGAAATCCTCGTAGACAATTTCTATCAGTTAGGCGAGATTGCTTTGGAATCGGGGGGTTCGGTTTCGCTTGAGTGGCCGTTGAGGAATGGGGGATGGAAGCAGGAGCAAATCACCCAAATGATTCTTCATTTCAACATGTGATCCAATTGAAGGTGGTAGCATGGCTAGAAAGTCGGGCATATACAACACCAAAATGGCAATTGCTATACTTTCGGCATTGAATCCTGAATCAGCATTCACTGATGTACCTGCGATGCCCGTCACTCACGGCACGGTTGCGCATCAGGATTGATGGCCCAGCTTGTTTTGGGTATGGTACACACCCCACTTTCGAGACGGGAACTTTTCAATCACCCCCAGGGTAAAGAGAAAATCAAAGAAGAGTCTGATGACATGCGCATATTGGAAGTGTGGGATGACAATGACATACATGAAGTTGAGAGGTTGAAGAAGGCCATGTATGGCCATCCAACGTCAGGAGACGATTGGACACTATACCTGGACGAAGTGATCATCCACAAGCTTCAAGGGGACCGGGTTGAGGGTTGGCCATCATTGTGGCACATCAAATCTCTCAACATACTTTGCGCAGCATATGTAGATGATCTAGTCGTTTCAGGCCCAAAAGAAAATCTGCCTGTCTTTTGGCAAATATTGTCACAGTACATAACTGTAGATGCCATAGAACAGCCAGGAAGATATTTAGGCAGAGATCACCTCATCTTCGAATGTGGAGGAGGGCGACAAGTTCACATGTCCATGTGTGACTACGCCGTCACGGCGTACAAGCTCTGTGAGGATCAGTTTGGGGAAACTTTGAAGGTCTACGAGACGCCTTTTGTGTCAGAGGCCGCTTTGACACAGGAGGGGTATGAGGAGAAAGGTCAATTAGCAGGAAGCGCCGCCCAGCTCTTGATGAAACTCCTGTGGCTGGCCAGGCTGTCAAGGCCCGACCTCAGTTTCGCAATCACGTCTCTGGCTTCCCACATCGCCAAGTGGACCCGAAACCATGACATCATGCTGTATCGATTACTGGGATACGTGAAAGGTTCGGTTGAGTTGGGAATTCTAGGCACCGTTTCAGGAATTGAATCTGTTCCTAGGGTAGATTTGTTCGCGGACGCAGACTTAGCAGGGGACCCCATGACCACGCGGTCGCATAGCGGCCATTTCGTGCTCATACAAGACAGTGAAGGGACTTCTTTCCCTGTTTACTGGGGTGCCAAAAAGCAAACTTGCGTTTCAAGAAGTACAACCGAGGCCGAAATCGTCTCAGCATCAGCGTTGGTGTTTGCCGAGGGTCTGCCGATTAAAACAGTCATGGAACTAGTCCTTGGCCAGGAAGTTGATACTGTGTTGCGCGAGGACAGCAGCGCTGTGCTGTTAATATTGCAGCATGGATACAGTCCTAAATTAAAGTCCCTCAACAGGACCCATCGAATCAGTGTAGCGGCGCTGGCTGAAGTGATTGACCAAGGACTGATCAGAGCAGTACACGCGTCCACTAAGGACCAAAAAGGGGACGTGTTTACTAAGGCACTCGGACGGCTTCAGTTTCTGGAAGCACGACGTCAAATCCTAGTCACTCCTAACCCGAAGACAAGACAAGGTTGACCCAGCGCATTGCGCGGGCAACTAAGGAACACTTTGGGCGCTCATTGCTTGCCGCGCCGCGGCACCTTGGCTCTTGACCAATGAGAATGTGTCGCGGTGGCGGCTGCGGGTGAGCTTTTGCCATTTTACTTTAATCCTTTTCGACTCCCTTTCTGAACCTACCACAGGAAAAGCGGCAAGAATGGCAATAGCGACTTGCGCAGCCCCTTGCGGGGGGGGGGCTGCATGAGGCGCATGAAAGCCAAAATATTCCGCATGAACCTGTGGGGGGGACGAAGTAAACAAGGGGTCTTTTCACTCCGCGGGATAAATAGTGTCCCTGAACATGTTTGGCTCCAGTGTGAGAAAGGCTGAGCCACTGTTTTGTGTATAAGTATGCAACTAGAGGTCCGCAAGAAAAAGCATGATGCAAATCAATCTTGTTGTTGGCCTATCTCCACCAAATCGCCTCACAAGATATCAATGCTCTTTGGTTTGGGTATTCAAGAAGTAGCTCATTTTGTAAAGACAACACTGCAAATATTCCAGTGAGTCCAAAATGAAGGAGTACAAAGCGAGGGCGATGAAGGTTCGTCAAAATGCTCTCTTTGCGGAGTGCTATACATGCAGTCAGGAAACGCAACACGAGAGGACATGTGAGGCTGTGATGATACCATTACTATTTTTTCTATTTTTTAAACAGGACTGCACGATGCCTATGTTGTATTCTGCAGGCTGGCAACCTACAACTCAACAATGCAAGCAAATCGTGGACAATTGCAGTGAAAGGTATGAACCGGCCTTCTCAAGGCATGTGGTTCGAGACCGAGACCGGATTTGGGGGAGAGATCCTGCTTGGGGATGCTTTTCTCACACGCATTTGCGAGTTGTAGTGCCCCGTCCATTGCGGCCTGAGCTCACTTTCCACAGCGTGCTTTGCTTTCCTGCTTGGACTTGTGGCTGGGCTTGGTCTGGTTTTTTTTGCCCCCACAGTCACCTCGTGTCAGGGCAGAGACGAGGGTGTACAAGATCACATGCAGATTTCTACCTCATCACAGGCGACTCCAGGCAGAATGCAAGCTTCCCCTTCTTGGAACAAGCTCTCACCTGGTTCCCTTCATTGAGGTGACCGCGGAGTATGTGATCCTGCGACGGGTCCCCCTTATCGCGGGCCAAACGGTAGCAAAGCTGAATGCATGTTGCTGGCGGGAATCTTGATGTTGGCGAGAGAACAGGACCCGCACTGCGCGTGTATTTTACAGGCCTGGAAAAAGTATCTGGAACTTATAAGCTCTTACGTTTTGGCCCTCTAAGCGTGCCATCTTGCTCGGCGCACTGTGTAGAGATTGACAGGGCGGGGTCCTTTTCTGGTCGTGGTCTGAAAATTGTTTGATCGCCAGTTCACGCGTTTTGCTCGCCGGTTCGGAGGTTCTTTTGGTCGTCGCTTCAACCCCATTTGTAGTTAATTTTCACTGCAGAGGCCTTCATACATAGGCCATAAGAGCACGCCACCCGCTTTGAAGGCGTGCCCTTCGAGACTGTGAATGTTTTGGATGAGGCAAACAACCCTGGCGTGCGGGAGGCAGGTTTGAGAGCGAGATGGTGGGACGCGCTGACCAAGATGTTTACCATAAAGACTTGTGCGCTTAACGGGTATTTGGATGCATACGCCACGGTGCACATGTTTATACATATATTGAGAGAGATACACAATACGCGCGCACTGGATATCGTGCGGTGGAGCTGTTTGGGGTCAAACAGAACCTTGAAAAGACTGCGCAGATTTCAGAGTTTCACGAATGAACGACACCATCGGTGCCTCTAAAATGACTGCATGGTGGCTTCTTGGCTTGCGGCGGTTGCCATTTCAGCTGGATAAGCTTTCAGAAAAGGAACTTTTCTTGGTAGCTTCGTCCCCGTGCCCAGTGAACGCATTCCTTTCTTCAACTCAACCACGTGAGGCAGCAGAATAGCGCGTCAGCATATATCGTCCGAACTCCGGAACCTCTGGAGCTCAACCTGCTGAGGCCCCGGATCCTGCTCCGAAACTTGCACTAGAACCTTCGGAAGCTCCAGAACCTGCTCCGCAACCCTCCTCCCAAACCTGCGCTCCGGACTGGGTCGCTCCGGAACCTGGTCCGGGAGCTGCTTTGGAAGCTGTTGCGGAACTCCTCCGGAAACTGCCCAAGGTTATGCTCCTCATTACAGAGTTTGCTCAACCATTTCAATGTCCTTTTGTGAGGGCCTTGCCTTGTATCGTGATAGACCCTTTATGTACTTTTATTCAATAACTGTCCCGTCTGCAGAGTTGAACTTGTCATGAACTTATCCTTGGTTGATATTTTTGGCTTCCACTCAAGACTGGTGTGTTTTGAGAAGGGGTGGTCTCAATCAAACTGTGTTGTCGACAATGACAAATTGTTTCTCAAGAAAGCCGTCACGGTGAACAACAGGATCAAATTCCGTTGCTGTGGCAGGTGCCACATCAGTTCTGCTAGAAAGGTTTTGGCTTGAACAACCACTACCGTTGGCGCGCGCAGGCGTGGCAAAGTTTTCCCTACTATCTATGGTGCGTCTACAAAGATCGGTTTGGTGGAGCAGTACAATATCAAACCATGTGCGCGAAATAGGTTTGAACGCCCGCAACTTGCCCAAAGTTAGGTCATGCATGCGCATACACACATACACCCATACACACACATACACACATACACACATACACACAGACACACAGACAGACAGACACAGACACAGACACAGACATAGACACATACATACATACATACATGGCTCAAGCCACGAGTGGTCCAAGCCCGCGGCCCACGAAGACGGGCTGGTGCGAAATTCCTTTGCAAGCATATCCAGGACAACTCTCAGGTCTGATCCTGTACTTCCCCACGTACAACACACTCTTTGCTCGCAATCTTGCTGGACAACATCCACGCTTTGAGTTGCTCTTTTACCTCTGGCAGGTCTCGCCTGGCTACATCTTGGGGATCAGAGGCGGCACTGGCACTTTCTCACAGCTGAGCTCTCTAGCCAGAACGAGATCGGTGCTCTGATCCACCAACCACAGCCTCGATTTTATCAAGGCTGCTGACACGCAGGGCATCCGGGACTAAGACAACCTCCTGGCGCAGAGCATACCAAGTCTGCAGTAAAAGCAGCTGCAGAAATTGGATCTGGCAAGACAAAGTCCAGAGCGGCAACCGCTGTCGCAAGTGCGGGACTTGGTGGATCATCACCAAAGCCAAAGGAAAAGGAAAAGGACAAGGCCATGCAAGCAAAGGCAATGGACCTACATCGAACTCCACATGGCCAAGAAGGACATACCAAGAGGCGCTCATGGACACTCCACCGGGCTTGAACAAGCCCAGACCCCTTCGACGAGGTGACGGCGCTCGTATACGTCAGCAAGAACACAAGAACACCAGACACTCCAGGCAACGAACCTCACCTACAACGAAGACAGAGGGATGCAGCCTTAGCAGCTTGGGAGAGGGCCAATTCACTTCATGACAGAAAGGCCACTGAGTGGCAAGCGGTCCTTGACAAAGATCATGCAGAGATCTACTCCCATGCAGCTGCAAGATTAGCCAAGATCTTTGCTGACAAGGACCACTATCTTCACCAGAAAGCGCCCAGGCATCAAGGACGTCAGACAAAACAACACAAAAAGCAGCTCGTCCAACACTGTCGCAAGCCATGGCAAGCTCCTCACCATAGATGGCGACCACACAGGGGTGGCTACCAGCGCAGCGCATGTGGCGAGCGAGTGCACCAAGCACTCACAGCCTCAACCATTGAAGAAAGGCTGGCACAACCATCCCTCAGCGACAAATAGAAGAGCCCAGACAAGCCAATTCAGAAGAAGCTCACAAGAGCCCAAGTCATTGCCGAGAAGCAAGAAAACCAGCAACCGGCCAGCCAGCACACCTTGGAGGAAACTAAGGGTTACCTCCGCTGCGCCACCTGCGGCCGCAGTGTGCGTAAAAGGGCAAATGAAGATGCCTTCCAGGCCTACGTACAGGGTCCATGCGTCAACCAGCTCTATGGCCAGCCACGCAATGGACATGAGAGCCACAGTTTGTGGCAGAAAGGACAACACTGTGGCGCACAAACCCAGGTGGCCAGAACCGGCCAATCATCACCAATGCTCTTCAGAAAAGCTGCAAAGGAGGCACGGCAGCAGGCTCACCACCCATAACTGAGATCTTCAGAAGACAGTCGGCCAAGGCAAGTCAATCTGAAGGCAGCCACACGCCAGCCAACACACAGGCCAAGGCTCCATCAGCTGCAGAGGCAAGGCTACCGACAGAACCCCAGCCACCATCGGTAGACCCGGCATTTGGTAGATCCTCTGAGAGCGCATCGCCATTGGTCCCAAGACAGCTCACCTACAGTGAAGCACCTACCAGCAACACGGCATCAGACCTAACGAACACTCAGTTCCAAAAGGTCATTGGCCTCACAGAGGCCTTCACGGACAGTACACTCACCGAGGCTACTGGCCATGATACCCAGCCAGCTACAGCAAATGCCTACGTCACCAGCAGGAGATCTTCCACACAAGGCCAAAAGGCTCGGAGAGCCTGCACGGTACCAGACAGACCCAGAGGGCAGATCTGATCACGATCATGTCCTCGAAAACTCCGAGAGCAGTGACACACCTGATCCAGAAGTCGAAGTCGATTACTTCTGACTGGACTACCTCCTGGAGCGCCTGCGGCTGGCAGCGGCAGCGGTTCGCAAGGTCAAAGAGCCCACGATTCATGGGCGCAGGGCGTCTGCGCCCACACCCTCCAACTTGGTCAGCTCCACCGCAACAGTGGTCCGCAGAACTAGAGCAGAGCACTCCTCACCACTGGTCCTCTGCCGGTAACGGCCCCAAAGTGCAACGGGCTGGATGCGCCTCGGTGGAGTCGCGTTGCTTGGTGTTGGCAAATCGTTTCTTGAGAACTGGTAGCCTCCTTCAACGGCCAGCCTGGTGGTCGATGCTGAGGTCCCTCATAACCGTGGCAGTGGGTGGTTCGTCTGGGTGGGATGGCCGCCAATGTGCGGCTTGCATCCGTGGCAATAAAGGCTGTCTTCCGCTGGTTGACCTTCAGGCCTACACTGCAAAGGCGCTGGCGCAAGTCCGTGTATGTATGTATGTCTGTCTGTCTGTCTGTCTGTCTGTCTGTATGTATGTATGTATGTATTTTTTTCCTTGCCTGTGCTCTGGGGCGATAGGGGTGTAGGAGTGGCATTGACGGTGTAGGCGCGCCCTTGGACTTCCACACCCGTGGCCTTGGAGTGGGTGAGTCTGACTGAGACGCTCTTGAGGCTCTGTTTGGTGATTCTCTCTGCCCACTCGGCTGGCATAGGCGTGTGTTGTTTGCCATGGTGCCACTTACAAAGCCAGTCGTGTATGCCTCCGCGCACGCATGGGTTGAAATACTTGCGCTGATCAGCTGATCTTTCGGGAGTTTGCGGAGGACTTTGTTGTACACCGTCCGGCCGAGTCCAGTGAGCAGGTATTGGCAGTGGGGTTTGCTTGCCAACCGCTTGGTTCTCTGGCTGATGGCCTCTTGGTGGAGTTGGAGCCCGATCTTTCACCAGGGGTTGCGCAGGTTGATGAACGCTGCAAATTGGAGGGCAGTTTCAGGCCGGTGCCACTGGAAGAGGTTGGCGGTGTTCCAGCCCCATTCATGGAGGTAGGCAATGGCCGCCGCCAGCGGGCCTTTGACGTGGTAAGGCTGCGCGGTACCTTGGGGCTAGGCCTTGACTCTCAAAAGGATTTCAAGACCTGGCCCATGATGAAGTGAGAGAGGAGGACATCAAACCCCTCACCGTTCCGCAAGGCATCTGGAAATGAAGCCCACTTGCGACGGCGACGTGATGCCGGATTGGCAGCTTGGGAGAGGGCAAAAACCGTCTACAACCGACAGCAAGAAAGCTTGGCAAGCCACCCTGCGTGAGGACCACCTCGAGATTTACCAGCGCGCTGTGGCCCGCCTGGAGAGCATCTTCAAAGCCCCGCGCCAATTTATCCACGAGAAAGCCCCGCGACACCCGGACAAAGCGCCTCGAACAACGCAAGAAGCAACTTATCCAAAGCTGCGCGCAGCCCTGGCAGGAGGGCAAACACAGGTGGCGCAAGCGCCGCAGCGGCTGCAAGTGCACGGCGTGCCGCATCAAGGCTTCACCATTCAGGCCATGGAAACACTACTTCAAGAAGACTGTGACCAGCTCACCGTCGAGACACAAGTGTAGGCTGCCCAGGCCACCACTCCGCAAGTTGCTCGTAAACCCACGTTGCTCGACACGGCAACCCGCCGGCCGACTCACGCCGGCCGACTCGCACCACGGCCTATTATAAAGATCTCCTGGGGCGCCAAGAGGAGCGCCCGCCCACTATAAGGACGAGCGCCATGCGCTGGCTACCTCACATGCATCAAATGCTAACAGTCACAAGGCTGTGGCAAAAAGGTGCCAAAATTCATTGCCTCTCCTGCGGGTTGTGGGCCTCACGTCATCTCCAGGCCCGGCTCAGCCTCAGCAAGACTTTCTTTGGCTCCAGTCCACCCAACCAGGACACCAGCCAAGCAGCCTGCAAGGAACCCAGCCAGTGAGGCCATACTGTTTGGCGACAGCAACCTCAAACCGCAGCGACTGAGTTTCTCCAATCCTGAGGGCAACCCATCAGACCTGACGCCTGGTCACGCATGCCCTGGCCACGGAACAAGCGAACGGCGCAGACATTCTGGGAAAAGAAGAAGCGCCAGGCGCGCATGATCCACCTGTCCATCCAGGCTAGTCATCAGCTCCGGATACGCTTATGGCTTATGGGAGACCATGGCAAGAACCTGGACGAAGACATGTACCAGGTTGATTTCTTCGCCCAACCAAGCGCTGCTGAACTGAGCCACCCGAGCTAGCATCAGGGCAAGCCGCCCTCACCTCGCGCCCTTCAGGAAAATGCGTGCATACACACACACAACACACATACATACACGCACGCACGCGTACATACATACACGCATACATACATTCATACGCGCGTGCGCACGCGCGTGTGATTGCGCAGAGATGTATTTTTGCCTGTGTGTTTACATGTACCTATATATATATATATATATTGTATGCGTTTGCATTACTGGGACTCTGGTTAAGGTGAGGTTTGCTTTCTTCGTGCGTTGCAATTCTTCTTCCTTTCCTTCTGTCCTACTCAGCTACATCTCAGAACACTGCTGACGCGCTGGCGCTGTCCTGGTTGGTGCTCATACCCGGTCAATTCCCACAAGCAACAGGCGCCAGCTGCAACGATTCGAAATTTTTTCTTTGACCAGGCCGTGAAAGAGTTCGGCCAGTGGCCCACGTCGCTCAGCTGACAGAGTTGCCGGCTCTTGAGGTGAAAAAGAAGATCTCAACGTTTAAGCCCTCCCAAGTTGCAGTAGTTGCTTCTTATTATGTTCTCTCAAACACTTGCTTGTTGCCCGATCGGCCCTATCGACAACCATATTGGGATCATAGTCATAGTCGCCCCTGGCAACCCACAGTTCGCGGTTCCCCCCAAGAAAACAAATGCCCTTTGGCTCTTAAGTGGATCAGGCCGCAGTTGTGATTTCAGGCAGGTAGTGGCCCCGTTGACGGAGTTGGTGATTTTTTTTGCAGTGGACAAACATGTGTATTTTGTCGTGGTGTTTTGGGGATACGCTTGCAACTGGTGTAGAATGCGTAGAGATGGAGAGGGGGCGGACTTGAACAGTCTTGCTCCTGCATGCCCGCATGGGTTGCATTGAACCTACTCACTCAGGATCCCACAGCTCTACGTTGCAGGGCAGCTGGTCGGAGGCAACTCGCTCACAAAACCAGAATATGCACTTTCCTTAGGACTTTGCAATGTGCTTCTAAGACAGAGGAAGAGCCCGACGAACACGATTAAAGGATGCCTTTCGGAAGGCACACGCCAAGCACAAGTACAAATATAGGCCTCAGACAGTGATTGGCTTCGGGAAAATCCCCTGGCCCCCCTTGTGTCCGGGCCGCTACAACAACAACGACAACGACAACGACAACAAACGAACGAACAACAAACGAGCGAACGAGCGAGCTAACGAACGAGCGAACGAAGGAACCAACTAGCGAACGAACTCACCAACGAACGAAGTGAAGTGAATTAGACTCATACTCCTGCCCAAACAGCAACTTGAAGTGTTGAATCACTCTGCCCCAACAGGAAGTTCGCTCCTGTTACAGTTGAAGACAAAATAGACTTGCAACGCGCGACAGATTAAAATCTCGAAGTGCGCTTTGTATTTAACATCCGAGATTGCAAAAAGACAATAGAACATCCTGGCGTTTGAACCTGGCAACAAGTCAACACACTGCGAAAGGCCGAAGATTGCGATAAGTTGGATTTGTGGGTTCCATGTTAGTTGCGAGGGTCACGGCGCTCCAAAGAGAGACACCAAAAATGCTGTAACCACCAGCGCGTTCAATGATTGCATCCCCAGCACGCAGCAAACGCTAGCGCATCTGACGCTCAAAACGTGGAAACATATTTTTCTATCAGTTCTAGACTGACCGCCCCACGCGCAATAGTTTGGTTCCTTTCGATGTTCTGTGGGTAGCAATTTTTTCTCCATGGCCATTCTCTTGTCTACTTTCCTCTCCTCTCATGTCCTGCCATCCTCTCTCCAATCGGCCCTGCCACAAGTGTTGTCTCACTCGATGAGCAGACCTAGAATCCGTTGCTGCTGCAGGCGCGGACATTGTCATGGAGATGTACCAGCAGGGTGAGTTGGAGCAGGTTCGGAGCAGACTCCAGTTTGCCTAGCGAAGTCATGCTGGGTTCGAGCCTGTTGTTCACCTGGCTTCAACCAGGCAGGACACATGCCTAACCTAGATGCCAATCGCCCCCGTACCGTTTAGTTACGAACGAATCACTCAGTTGCGCCCAATCTGCGCGCTTTTGAAAATGACCAAAGGCCTTGCGTCTTCGGCGCCGCAATCAAAGAGCTTGCAATCGCGCACTTTTTGTACTTATAGACGTGCCTTTTTCGTTCGCTCGACGCAGATGCTGGTCATGGCCAATGAGGGCGCTGGAGCAACAGGCCAGGTGTTGCATCTACCGATTGTTTTGTTTAAGTCTTCACTGCAGTCGGTTCTAATATCACGCGGCGTCGAAAGGCGCAAGAATACGTGGCCATATTAATTGCGCCAATGTACTGCAGGCTCCACTTTGGCAATCTGGCTCAAGGTGCAAAGGGCATGAGTGTTTTTTCGCGGCGGCGAGAGATCCTGGTGAGGATTGGAAAGCCGGCTATGGGCGCTTTCAGCCGATGTTGCCGAACTAATTCCTGCGCGAGCATCACGCAACGCAGCCTCTCGAGCAGTGACAGAGGGATCAAATTCTCCAGCGAAGCCGCATACGGTGCCAAGATCAGGGCCCTTCAGCAGCTTCATACCAAAAGACCACAGCCAGTGTAGCGCATGGGGTGGATAACGCAGTGACGTGCACGCCTATATATATAGGGAGGACGGCAGGGAGGGCGCAGATGAAGAAAACGTCGCGGCTCTGGCAAACTTGAGCGGCGCAGGGCTGGGATGGACGCACCATCCGCGGACAAGTTCCTGAAATTCAACCTATTGGACACTGGAGCGGTTGAGGTAGCCACGCCAAACAGACGGCAGAGCGAGGGGAGTGGGGCGGCGCTCAGGCGCCCAGTCAAGCATGTGAGCTTCAGAGCGCCAACACGCCCTAATGCGGCTAGATAGGAGCGTGGGCTGACGTTGCGAAGAACGAGGCGACAGTGCGCGCGGCACATCGGACATGGCTCGAAGAAGATGGTTAGGGGGACTATCTGTTGCAAGGTTGGAACGAACCCTCACCGTGCGCAACCAAGTTTGTTGCAAGCTCCTCTTCTGGATTGCAGCGAGCCATCCATGGTTGCAGGCGAGCGGGCTGGCAGAGGACGCCAAGTTGATGCGCAGGCTGGCTATCTTCGCTCAAGGTGCGAAGGGCCGACGATCGAGGATGCCCAGAAAGGAAGCTATTTTGGAAAGAATGCTGAGGGCCAGGGCTTGCCAGACAAGAAGGATGGATGCTTCATAACAGCGGAGGGCGTACGAGAGGGCGCATCTTGCGCAAAAAAGGGCAGCGCTTCCGCGCGCAGGGGCACGACGAGCAACAGTCGCCAGAGCAACGCGCGATTGAGACACAAGTTGGAGGGCTGTTTCCCCCACACCCTGTTGGAAGCCAGTAGCTGCTGCGTTCCATGGGGGCGCGCGGTGAGCTTCCAAGCCTGAAGTTAGCCCTGGGGCCCGCTGCGGCAGCGCTCAGTGACTCAGCCAAAAACAGGCGAACCTACATCGATGCGCAGACGCAACCAGAAGGCAGAATTTGATGCTCGCAACCGAAAATGTTGCCAATCCCACCATAGAGCGCGGCGCGGTGTAGCCTCAGTCTTCTTCCACTGCCTGGACCTGGACTTGAGGGTTTTGGTGTTAGTGGAGACAAACATCTGCAGGAGATGGTCGTGGAACCCATTGCCGACTCTGGGCCGAATGATGAGCAGACGCTGCAGAACCTGGCTCGAAAGATGGTGACAGCTATATGTGAGGCAATCTAGCCAGACCGTCTGGCATCTGTCAACGCGCTTGAAGAAGTCCGTCTCCCAACTTTGCAAGGATGTATTCAATGTATTCATCACAAGCGCGGCCCACAAAGGCGCCAGCCCTGATACAACGATCGACCACCCTTGCAGAGTGCGCGTGTGTTTCGGGGTGACTGACTTGCCTAGCGGAGTTGGACTTGAAGGCTCAGCGCGGCCAGCGGGCGACAGTGTCCAGGTCGATCGCAAAAGCCTGCGACCAAGTCGGTTAGACATGAAGGAGGCTGTGGATGAACTCTATATGTCAACGTCTTAATTCTTAAGTGCTGGTGAGCGGGCTTGGATTGAATGCAGGATGCCAAAAGTAGTTGGCCAGGCGGCCAGACTCCGCTATGTCCAGCATGAGAACAGGGGTTCTTGCCTGTAGATTCTTTACTTCAAAGAGGCGGTTCAATCCTCTTCGTGAGAAGCGTGCTTAAAGATACCATGACCAGCTTTCCATGAGCAGCCAAGCCCTTACCAGTAGCTAACATCACTGAATGACAAGGCATGACAAAGCCATGGGCAAGCAGATTCAGCCGCATGTTTTCAACTGCTCGGTTTTCACGACCAGGGGACGCGAAGGGCAAGTCTTCCTCTTCGGCAGAATATGCTACAGGCCGTGGGTCGGTTGATGAGCGGCTAAGAAAATGGGAGAAGCCGCCAGCAATAGAAGTCAAAGTGCTCTGAAATCGGTTCCTGCATCCTTGTGTGAATCCACTATCTGCCCCGAGCCCTCTACTTTGTAGTAAAGACCAGGCCTGACCAACTGAAAACCACAACAACACCAACCCACGCAGAGCCACTATAGAATGACGAGCTACATATCCCAAAGATCATTGAAACGTCAAATAAACCTCCATTGAAGGTTTATCCTTTAAGCTCTTACTCAATAAACCGTGAATTCACTTTTTTTAAGCTCTCAACAAGCCTTGAGCCTGACCCCCCTAGCCCCTAGCCCCCGAATCATCCCATGAAAGTCCCCTGGACTAATCAACAACAAACCAACCGGCATGGGTGGTCCAGAAGAAAGAGCCGGTAGTCCCATAGAAGTTGAAAGCAGTGGGATTCATTTTTTAGGAGTTTAGATCATTATTTTTCAGGACCTTGTTGCTGTCAACATCTAAATTTTTCTCAAATGTCCAAATATTTTCTGGTGGTTCCTGGTGTCCCTGGGTTGTTCCTACCTGTATTCTAGCTGGAGGGAGCATGTGGTCTTATAGAATTTGATCTTTGTTGGGTGGGGAGATGTAGCTCCTCATTCTATAGTGGCTCTACATGGGCTGGTTGGTAGGTTTGTCCTTTCGGGGCTTAGTAAGGGTTTGTGTCCTTTGGATATTGGTGGTCCAGAAAAGAATATAGCCGGTGGCCTTATCAAATTTGAAATATGTTTTGGGAGACTGGATTATTATGCTATAGCGCCTTATTCCTCACTGTCCTCAAATTTCACCGAATTGTTTGGTAGTGGACTTGTAGAATGTGACTGTTTTTGGGTAGAAAATGCTGTTTGCTGTTCTGTAGTGGCTGTATGTGGAGTAGTGTCCTTTTGGCTTTCCCGTTGTTGAATTCATACCTGTCCGGAAAACTGCAACATACTTGATCATATGTTCCAAGATACTTCATGTAGATGCAAATATGCAAGTTCTCTTTCCAAAAACTACTTCTATGCATCTCAGAAAAAATTGCACATTCTGTTTTAATAAGGCGTCCAGGCTTTCAATTTGTTGGATCAATACAACAGACAAATCTCTATAGAATATCAGAATGGATCAGCTATCAAAGGCAATTCACCACAAATTTCTAAGAAAACAAAACAGTGATTTCTCTGCAGAATCCTGTGGCGCTGTTTCAATTCCCTTCCCGCAGTCATAGAGAAAGGTAAGTTAGTCTAAGGGCGTTCTGCTAGTGGGCCAAGGGGGCAAGTGGCCAAGGCTGTGATGAAAGGCCAAAGTCGTGCATATTCAAATTGGAGCAAGAAAGTCGGCACCGTTCTGCGGCCCCCCCCCGTACAAAACATTGTATATTTCAGCAGAGAACTAAGTACCAAAGTCCGATCTCCAGTCAATGCTGATTCTTGCAGTGTGCCTGCCCAGTGGCAGCCCAGAACTGAACTTGTAGATCCGGTTCCTCAAGTCTCAAAGGTGCGTCAATCGCTTTGCGCATTTTCTTTGTTTGTCAGTTGCTCAACGTCAAAACCCTACGTACTTGTTCCATGCGCGTTGAAATAAGTTGGGACATGACAGGAAGATCATTCCAGGGCTTTTCTCATGTTTGATGCGTTTGCTACACATCGCTCTTGTGGACTTTGTGCCCCATTGCACTTCACTATGTATCGCAGTAGACATCATTACTCTTCATGGCACCTTAGTGTATTGGTGTTGTTTCCCGGACACATCATGATTTATACTTATACGTTGTTATGTTTCATGGTCGCCATTTGAATAGTTTGGAAGACTCAAACGCAGGCAACGTCAAACTCATCGACGACCCAAACAGGCCTGATGGCTAGAAGCCTGTTGTTTGAGGATGCTGCTGTTTTGGGACAGGGGACAGGACATGTCCAATGTTGTAAGATCAAAAGATAGTGGCGGGAGCACAGACAGCTCTTGGACAGTTTGGCAATGAAGCATGCAAGGTCTTGCCGGGAAAAACGAAATGTTCTGGAATTGCAGCCTCCCAGCTATTTGCCTTTTGCCACAAAGGCCAACGGCCACTGATCTTTGCAGAGCCCTAGACGCCGGGCTTTAATGTCCCGCATATACCTCAGCTTTGGACCCTACAGGGATGTCCTACAAAGTGCAATTTTTGTTTGAAGAAGTTTACAACGCCATGCGCGGGTGGAGGTTTGATGAGTGGGGATGTAGAACCACGTACAAAGCCAATACATGAATACGTGGACATCAATGGAAGAATTGGCGACTCGTGGCAATTCAGCGGATGTATGGTCTGGAGGACATTGCTGTGATGCACCATAGTTAGGTTTGCATCATTGGTCATTGAACCTAAAATGAACTGTGGCGTGGGTTCTGAGGTGGGTTTTCAGGTCGACTTGAATTTTGATTCTGAATGACCGATGGCCTGGTCATGCTCATAATTCGAACCGAGACAATCATCCCACTACAGCCCAGGCCCTGGCAACCAGACTTGATTGTGTGACTGAACTCAACAACACAAGGCTTGCAATCTGAGGACAAGAGCTTCGCCCTTGTGGACTTGAAGGTAGTGGACGAATCAGTTTCTTGCCTGAAAAGTGGTGGTTTTGCAGAGTCTTCAAGCCACTGGCAGCGAGGGTTGCGGCAATTTTGCCAATCTACATTATCAGTCCCTGAACCATCCTGAACCGATTTGGTCGCACAGTCTCCATGCCTTCGGGCATTTGTGCTACAGCTTTGGATACCATTTGGCTATTCATTTCATGTTCAATTGTTAATCGTTTTTGGATGTCAGGTTTCACGCCCGTCAGTCGGCAACTCAAAATCGCGACAAATTGCAACGCTTTGTTGGGCTTTTCCTCGCAACTGATTGGCAACGAAGCCTTGAAGGAAACGGACCAGAACTGCCAACAAAGCCAACGAAATATAGAACAAACTAAAGGCCCAAGTGAAATGCAATACGATCTTGAAGGACCTTTCAAACCTACAGGCTGCGCATTGCATCCACAGAACGGGTTTGAGCTTGGGCTGGATTGACAACTTCAAACAGACACGCGTTGCCAATGTCTTTGCGTTTCCCGAAGCAATTTACTGTTTTTCCTTTCTCGGCTTACTCCAAAGCGAACGTGAGACTTAGAGTCGGGGGCAAGTCGAAGAAAGATGGGCTGCTTGCGTTCGCAAGTTGGAAGGGAATGAGATTTGCAAGCCTGCTCTGATATTTGCACAAAGTAGAATATCAATGACTAATGCTGCGAAGCTTTTGAAAGGCCCTTGGATGTCCCCTTTTCCTTTCGACTCGGATTGCTTCCTGCGGGGTCTTTGTGCGAATTTATGTGTTTCTGGCCCTGGCATGGTTGGTTCCCTGACGGCGCATGAGTGAAAACGAGTCCCTTTGTGTTTGAGTTGCTGGTTGATGTTTCGCCTTGGTCAGGCATCAGTCCGGGCCCTGAGGCTCAGTGATGCAGGATGAAAATTACACCTTGTCCGCTTTGTGTGCTAGATGGCCACCCGTGGCGTTTCCGTCTTGCCTTGTCCAGGGCTTTGTTGAAGGCGTTGTCCACTAGATGGGTATGCAATTATCGAACGAAGGTATATAACAATTAATGAATGTGTATGTACAGGTGTGGTGCTTCACGAGACTCAAAAGGTAGTTCGTCACGATAGCTTGTTTGGCATCGATATATATAGTTTATGAGTTTCATTTACGAAAAGCCGTAATCCCAACCTCCCACACAGGTGGGTCCGAAACCAAAGTGGATCGAATTGGTAGAATTTGTCTTAGCATGTCTTGGCACAGGAGCACACACAACAAAAAACAGGATGCATTGTTTTGATGAATTTCCATATAGTGTCTTGCGCGGGCGCTGCACGAAGACTGTCAGCTAAAGCTTGAAAGGAAAGGTCAGTGTTCTTGTCTGTCTGATTTCTCTGGCATGTTTGTTCTCATGCACTTTGGTTTTATACTGATGGGTTGGCTGATACTCCTTTGGTTCCTGCAATATGATTGGCAGGTTGGCCGTATATTCGTGCGCTCGTCACATTTGCTAGGTGCACAAAAGATGGCGGGCGCCAAATTTGTTGCGGTAGTACTTTTGGCTTCTCACGCAGCTACAAAAAAACTTTCCAGGGAGAGGCCGGCAAACAAATTCTTGAGAACGCACTTGACAATCAGAGATTCGAGAATCGAGATTCGAGATTCGAGATACGCGATTTGAGATTCGAGATCCGAGATACGCGATTCGAGAT